TTTGATCTCTAGTACCACAAGGAAAAAAAAAAAAAATTGAAACATTTTGTTCGTGGTAACTATAAAACACTGACTGGGGCTGGGGATGTGGCTCAGTGGTCGAGTGCCTGAGTTCAATCCCTGGTACCCCCCACCCAAAAAAAGCAAAAGATTTGAATACATCATTGCGATTTAGAAAATATGTGCAAAAAGGAAAGCAACTAAGAAATGTAAACCCATTTACATTCATAGGTTTTCATCTCAAAGTACTTCATCTTGATATGTAGTACAAAGCGAAAGTATGAATATATTAAACTGCGCTCAGAAAATGAATTTAAAAATTTCATCTTGCTGGGCACTGTGGTGCACACTGTAATCCCAGTGACTTGGGAGGTTAAGACAGGAGGATTATGAGTTCAAAACCAGCCTCAGCTATTTAGTGAGGCCCTAGGTAACTTAGGGAAATGCTGTCTCAAAACAAAAAATGAAAAGGACTGGAAATGTGGCTCAGCAGTTAAGCACCCGTGGATTCAATCCCTGCAATAACAACAACAAAATCTTACCTAATTTTTCTGGTTTTATATTATTTAGAATGCTTAAGGATACATAGAATGTTCTTAGTTGCCTTTACTCTTTTTTATTCTGCAAATGAAACCAAGAAAATATTCTTTCAGATCAGTTCTGTATTTTCTTTTTCTAGACTTTTGCACCCCCTGCTGGAGAACATATTTATGTTCCCTGGGGGGGAAAAAAAACGGCCACTGCTATTTAATTTCCCAAAACTATTTTGACGAAATTTGCCATGTCTTTCTTCCTTGGTCACCTTTGAAACCACAAAGAATAAAGTAAATAAAATCTCAACTCAAAAGTTACATATGATAAATCATCTGATTTATGACTGAACACATATCAGATTTTTTTTTTTTTAAATCAATGTTTACTCACCTTTGTTAAGGAATCCACCACCCTGGCACACAGAAGAGCTCCTGGCAGGTCAAAGTAATTATCGTAAAAGTAATATTTTCCTAAAAAAGAAAAAAAATCACACAAAAATTTCAAAATTGGAAATAAATTAATGCCTCATACATAAAGAATACAAAGAAATTTGAGGGAAGAGACAAAGGACTGTGGTTTATTTATTTGTACAGACCCCATTTCAATTCAAAATGGCACTAATACAGGCTCCGTGTCTGTTAAGGAGCATTCAGTTTAAGCTCTGAGGGCACTATCTGAAAGGTAAAATATGACATCTACAAACATGACACTACAAAAACACAAACAAACTTCTCAAACAATGACAAGTGTAACAAAATAAACCTAGTAGTAATAGTCAATAACTGCAACTAATTTCTGGTTACTACACTTTCTGAAGGAGAAAAGTACATTTTAACACTGCAGTGTGGGAGAAAAAGAACAAAATAGAAAAAAAAAAATTAGAATAAATGAAAAAGTAGCACAAAGAATATTTAATAAGGTCTATCTATCTAGAAAAATCTTTTAACTATTCCCTTTTAATTTATGCATATCAAAGTTTGAAAATAATTTTTTGAAAAGTCATTTTATAATTAGTCTTAATGATGCTTGTTAAAGACACTGGTTAAAAAAAAGTAGAAAATAATTTAAAATATGGTAAAATAGTGCTGAGAGTATAATTTAGTGATAGAGCACTTGCTTAGCATTTGATCCCCAGCACCAATAAATACACAGGAAATTAACAAACTAAGCATTTTATTTAAAAAATTGAGTTGTCTTAAAGAATATAAAAACTATACGCAGGATATATTACAAATATAAAATGGAATAGGAAGAAGTCACAATTTATGCTATCAATGACACTAAATTCCAAAACAAATAGCTTTGTGAAGAGTTTCACAAATATTGCTTTTCTACACCAGTGCTGGTTGGTCCATCAAAAGTACTGCATTCAGCTGGTATGCCAGCAAATTTCAGTGCAATACAAGAAGGACCAGGGTAACTGATGAATTAATACTATACCCTGTGAGTACATGGTGGATTATCTTAGGAAAATGCAGGAGTACAAGACAGGTACACTCACTCCAGGATCTCATGGAAGAGAGGCATTACATTTATTTTGTATGGCCTTGGGAGTAGAATTAAACCTGAACTCTTACATATGCCACTTTTGGACATGTTGTCCCTGGACAGTACTTCTGATGGCCCATGTCATATCCCTGGGACCCACATCTGAGTCTAGCCACAGCTATGCTGAACAGCATCAACCTACCTAAAACACAATAGTGTTACTTGCTTTATCCTAAAGGTCCTTGGCCACCCTCAACTAATGGGATTAGAAGCCTGAAAATGAAGATCACAGCTTCCAGTCTCCCAGACTGACAACTCTTAAGAGGTATTCTTTGTGTATCTCCTCAGAAGTTTCAGT